TAAATATAAATAAATATAAATATATATTTATATTTATTTATTTATTTATTTTTATATTTATCTTTGTAAATGTATTTAAGTACTCCTCAGCAATCAGCCAGAGCTGTGCATACACCGCACACTTCGAAGTAAATAAGCAGTTAGAGAGACAATTAAACAAAAATAAATAATAATAATAATTAAAAAATAATAAAATATAAATATATATAAATATCATAATAGATATATTTTATTGCAGAAGACTGCAGGTATATTTATATTTATATTTGTATTTACAGCGTGCAGTTGCGGTGTATAGGCAGTTCGAGCATAATTAAGAAGATAAAGCAATTAAAACATTTTATTATTATATTACTAATATATTAATAATATACTAATAATATATTATTATATATTATTATATATTATTATATATTATATATAATTATAATATATTTATTTGCTGTCTACTTAAAGGAGGCTTTGCTTAGTATACACCGATGCCGCTTAAATATAAACTTTAAAAACGTAGAGAGGGCGTTATATAAATATATAAATATATAAATATATATAAATATATATTTATTTATTTGTATATTTATATATTTATATTTGTCTATAAATGTACATATGTATATATGTTTATGTTTCGTTATGTATGTATATATGTCTATATCTATCTATCTGTCTATATATATATATATTCTATATTTATATTTATATATTTATATTTATAATGCATATACATGTTGGCGTAAACGTAGGAAACATATTCGTAGATATATAAATGTATAATATATATATATATATATATTATATATATAATAGATATATAACTAATTATTTACATTATATATATGTAGATATAGATGTAGATATTGTACTGCAAGCGATGTGTAATAAGGCTGCCGCCCGGTTTCGGTGTTGCTGCAGCAGCAGCAAGTGCAGCAGCAGCAAGTGCAGCAGCAGCAAGTGCAGCAGCAGCAAGGGCTGTAGCAGCAACAGTGGCAGACAAGTAAACCCTAAGACGCCCCCATAACAATTGCACGCGCTCTTTGCTGGTGTTGCTGCTGCTGCTGCTGCCGCTGCAGCAAGTGCTGCAGCAGCAGCAGCAGCAAGTGCTGCAGCAGCAGCAGCAGCAAGTGCTGCAGCAGCACAAGAAGGGCCTTTAAACATTTTTTTTTAAATCCCACATTAAAAGTCTCTTTATAACAAAAAATTGCGGCTGCTGCTTCTGCAGCATCTGCTGTTGCTGCTGCAGTGTCTGCTACTGCTGCTGTTGCTGCTGTAGTGTCTGCTGCTGCTGCTACTGTAATATCTGCTGCTGCCGCTGCTGCTGTACTATCTTTTGCTACTGCTGCTGCAGTGTCTGCTGCTGCTGTGCTATCTGTTGCTGCTGCTGCTGCTGCTGTTGCAGTATCCGCAGCAGCAGCAGGCAGCAGCAGCAGCAGCAGAATTTCGCGTGGGCTTATTGGTTTGCTGCAGCCTTTGGCGATGCTGCTGCACTCGGTGCAGCAGCAGGAGCAGCAGCAGCAGGAGCAGCAGCAGGAGCAGCAGCAGGAGCAGCAGCAGCAGACTTTCCTTCTGCTAAAGCCCTATCAATCAGCAGCTTTATCTCCCTGCATTTTATGTGCCGCAGCAGCGCTGCCTGCATGCGGCTCTCTACGCTCTGTGCAAGCAGCAGAAACCCTTCCTAAACAACACACACATGCAAGGGTTTAGGGTTTAGGGTTTAGGGTTAATAATAAACACCCGCATGCAAGGGTTTAGGGTTTGCTGGTTGCTGATAAGCAGGCGAATTAAATTAGGGTTTAGGGTTTAGCAGCAAACGCGAGGGTTTAGGGCTTTCTTGTAGCTGAACACGATAGTTAGGGTTTAGGGTTTATATTAATTAGGGTTTGCAGCTTAGGGTTTAGCAGCACAAACGAGGGTTTACGCTTTAGAAGGGTCTACAGCTTAAAAGGGTTAAGGGTTTTGAGGGTTTAGAGGGTTTAGGGTTTACCACAGTTTAGGGTTTAGGAGGATTAACGTTTAGGGTATATTAGGGTTTAGGGTTTAGGGTTTTAGGGTTAATAAGGACTTAGGGTTCAGGGTCTATTAGCTTTTAGGATTAATTAGGGTTTATAAGGGTTTATAAAAGTTTACAAGGGTTAATTAGGGTTTATAAGGATTAATTAGGGTTTAGGGTTTATAAGAGTTAATTAGGGTTTATGGTTTAGGGTTTATAAGGGTTAATTTGGGTTTAGGGTTAAGGGTTTACAAGGGTTAATTAGTGTTTATAGGAGTTAATTAGGGTTTATAAGAGTTGATAAGGGTTTATAAAGATTAATTAGGGTTTAGGGTTTATCAGAACTACTTAGGGTTTATCAGGTTTAATTAGGGTTTATAAGAGTTGAAAAGGGTTAATAAATGTTAATTAGGGTTAATAAAGGTTAATTCGGGCCTATAAAGGCTAATTAGGGCTTATAAAAGTAAATTAGGGTTTAGGGTTTAGGGTTTAGGGTTTAGGGTTTAGGGTTTACTTGTAGCTGCACAGTCTTATTCCACTCCTTTTCGTACAGGCGAGCAATCCGAGCCCGCGCATTTTTTAAACTGCTGCGCAGATATAACTCCGACTCAAACCACAAACCACAAACCACAAACCACAAACCCTAAACCCTAAACCCTAAACCCTAAACCCTAAACCCTAAACCCTAAAGAATAGAGAATAGAGAATAAACCAAAAGCCCTAAACCCTAAACCCTAAACAATAATTATAAACTATAAACAATAAAGAATAAACAATACAGAATAAACACCAAACCCTTAACCCTAAGCAATAAACCCTAAACCCTAAACCCTAAACCCTAAACCCTACTTGCTGCTGGTCGCTCGCTAAGGCATTTGAATTATCTCCTTCCTCTCCGCTCGGTAGCCGCTGCAGCAGCTGCTGCACCTCTAACACCCTCTCAGCCTGACGCCTCCTGCAGCAGCAGCAGCAGCAGCAGCAGCAAGAGATGCAGCAGCAACAGGAGTTGCAGCAGCAGCAGCAACAGGAGTAACAACAACAAGAACAGCAGCAATACCAACAGCAGCAGCAACAGCAGCAGCAGCAACAACAACAGCAGCAACAGCACTAGCAGCCGCACTATCAGCAGCAGCAGCAACAACACTAGCAGCAGCACTATCAGCAGCAGCAGCAACAGAAGTACAGCCAGACCCTATGAACACCTCAGGGTTTAGGGTTTAGGGTTTAGGGTTTAGGGTTTACCTGCTGTCTTGTGCATCTCGTATTGTTAATGTACAGTCGCTAATTAAACTTAAAGTCTTTTGCAGCTGCTGCCGAAACCCTAATTCTTCTGCTGAGGCTGGAACTGCTGCTGCTGCTGCTGCTGCTGTTGCTGCATCTGCTGCAGCAGGATAATGCACGCGGTAACCATCTAGCGATTGGGGGCCCCGAACCTGCAGATACAGCAGCAGCAGCAGCAGCAGCAGCAGCAGCAGCAACGGCAGCAGGGTCAACAGAGCTGCTACTAATGCAAAACCCACGAAAGCAGCAGCAGCAGCAGCAGCTGCAGCAGCATTCGCTGCAGCTATAATTGAAGCCTATAAACCTTACCCACAAACCCTAAACCCTAATTAGAGGCCCTGTAGACCCTAAACCCTAAACCCTAAACCCTAAACCCTCGCAAGACCTACCGATCTTCCCTCTCCAGCATCAGATGTTTTAACTCCTGGCCTCTGTTGGTGGTGCTGCTGCGGGTGCTGCTGCGGGTGCTGCTGCTGCTGCTGCTGTTGCTGCTGCTGCTGCTGCTGCTGCTGCTGCATGAATTGCCTATCTACTTTGGGTAGCTGCAGGTCCTGACCCTTTAAAATGCTGCTGAGGGTCTCACATATCTGAGGCCCGCCAAATATATTTCTTTGCTTTAAAATAAGTAAAACCCTCTTAAAAGAGTCGCGTATACTTGCTGCTGCTGCTGCTGCTGCTGGGGGTGCTGCTGGTTGTGCTGCTGCTGCTGTTACTGCTGCTGCTGCTGCACAAAGATGCCTCAAAGGGCTGCAGCAAAGCTGCAGCAAAAAGGGGGCCCCGCAGCTGCAGCAGCGCTGCAGCACATCATTGACAACATAGAGCAGCAGAACTAGCTGGCTGCTGTTTGCTGTTGCTGCTGCATCTGCTGCTCCTGCTCCTGCTGTTGCTGCAGGTGCAGCAGCAACTGCAGCAGCAGCAGCAGCCTGAATTTGCCTCTCTAATGCATCAATACAGTGATATACAGCAGGGCTGCTTGCTGTATGAACAAGAGCTGCAGATACACCTTGAATGCAAGCGCTGCTGCTGTCTAGACAGCTCAGCCCGCCTATAAACACCTGCACTACCCCTCTTATATCAGAGTTTAATGAAGAAAGAGGGGCCCAAGGTGGGGCCCCTGGCGGAACATCTTCTGCGTCCCACATGCCCTTAGGGTTTAGGGTTTAGGGTTTAGGGTTTAGAGGCAGCAAAAAAAAATAAACTGCGTATATCAAACCCATCACAAAATTACAGTGCTATGCTTTAAAACGTAGGGTTTAGTGGTTACAGTTCAGGGTTTAGGGCTTAGGGTTTAGGGTTTAGGGTTTAGGGTTTAGGGTTTAAGATGCCCCGCTGCTGCACGGGTAAGAGGCAAGAGGAGGGCCTTAGCTGCTGTTTGTTTTGTTGCTGCTGTATGATGAAGCAGCACAAATAAATAAAAATAAATAAACTGAGTTTAGGGTTAAAACAGAAGAACAAACGAAGAAAGATAAAATAAACTAAGCCCTAAAATGCATGCACGAGCTGCTGTGTCAGTAGAGGTGGCTTGCTGCAGCAGCAGCAGCAGCAGCAGCAGCAGCTGCTGCTGCTGCTGCTGCTACGGTGTCTCAATTTCTTATTACCAAACATCTTCTGCTATTTCTTCTTGTGAGGCAGTGCTTGCATCTCTCCTGCATGCAGCAGCAGCAGCAGCAGCAATTGCAGCAGCAGCAGCAGACAGACATACGAGCAGCAGCGCAACAGCTGTAACAACATCAACTGCAGCAGCAGCAGCAGCAAGCAGCAACAGCAGCAGAACCATCACTACGACGGCCTCCATCAACAAGGCTTCGATTTTTGCTGTCTGTGTATTTCCCCTTGCAGCAGCAGCAGCAGCAGCCGCAGCAGCAGCAGCAGCAGCAGCAGCAGATCTAAAGCAGCAGCAGCAGATGGCCCCGGAGTTTGGGTTTCAGGGGGACAAGGCGTCTGTAGGTCTGTGCAGAGCCGCCTTACCCCAAACCCTAAACCCTAAACCCTAAACCCTAAACCCTACTTTAGTAGAAAGGCAGATAGAGCTGCCTCAATGCCACCGTTGCTGCAGCTGCAGCAGCAGGAGCTGCCTCACATTCACAGGGTACCCAGAATACAACATCCGCAGCAGCAGCAGCAGCAGCAGCCACAGCAACAGCAGCAGCAGCAGCTGCTGCTGCTGCAGCAGCAGCGCCAGCAGAGTGAAGGGGAGGTTGCTTCAACACCTCGTGCGCAGCAGCAGCAGCAGCAGCAGCAGAATCAGACACCTCTCCCTGGCCACAGAAGGCGCAGGCAGCATCAGTCTGCTGCTGCTGCTCCTGCTGCTGCTACACTGCAGCAGCAGCAGCTGCTGCACCAGCAGCAGCAGCAGCAGCAGCAGCAGCAGGTCAGTATAGTTAATGAGGATGGCAGGGGTTTAAATGCTGCGGAAGCTCCGGGTGTACCTCCAGCTGCAGCAGCAGAAGTAGCAGCAGCAGCAGCAACACCAGCAGAGCCAGCAACGCCAGCAGCAGCAGCAGCAGCAGCAGCAGCAGCAACACCAGCAGAGTCAGAAACGCCAACAGCAGCAGCAGAAGCAGCTCAACCCGTTTCTGCTGCTGCTGTTGCTGCTTCACGCAGCAGCTGCCAGCAGCAGCAAAACAGCAGACGAAGGGCCCCGACTTCGACGGCGCCGGAGCCCGCGCTGTCTGCAGCAGCAGCTGCTGCTGCTGCTGCTGCAGCGGGTGCAGCAGAAGCAGATGCAGCAGAAGCGGATGAGGCAGAAGATGCTGCTGTTGCTGCAGCAACAGCAGCAACAGCAACAACAGCAGCAGCAACAGCAGCAGCATCCGGGCCCCATAACAGTGCTGCACTTTCCTCCTTCCCTTCAGAAGAGGAGTCTGCTGCTGCTGCTGCTGCAGCAGCACGGCGTGCTGCCGCCAGAAGAGCGTTTGCTGCAGGACCTAGTTTCTTTGCGTAGGCGTCGGGGCAGCAGCAGCAGCAGCAGCGATGAAGGAGATTCTAGCAGAAGCAGCAGCAGAAGCAGCAGCAGAAGCAGCAACAGCAGCTACTTACCTGATGTCTGGCTGCAGAACCGCGTCAGTAGGTGGGGCGGCAGCAGCAGCAGCAGCAGCAGCACCAGCAGCAGCTTAGTAGGGGCCCTTGTGAGGCTGCTAGGTGAAGATGCAGGAGAAGACAGAAGCAGCAGGAGCAAAGCTCTATCTGCTGATAGTGAAGCTGAGTTGTTGCTGCTGCAGCAGCAGCAGCCGCTGAGGCAATGCCCGTCGGGGGCCGTTACGCTGCAGCAGCAGCAACAGCAGCAGCAGCAGCAGCGGGAGAACCGCCCGACAGGCAGGCGCTTCTTCTATGGGCTGCTGCTGCTGCTGCTGCTGCTGCTGGCAGCAGCTCTGCTGCTTGGCTCTCTGCTGCACAGCAGCAAGCTGGTGCGGCTGAGGCCTCGAGAGTTGCTGCGGCTGCAGCTGTCTACCTTCCGACAGCTGCAGCAGCAGCTGCTGCAGCAGCAGCAGCAGCAGCAGCAACATCATCACCATCCCCTTCCACTCTGCTGGCATCACCCGCAGCAGCTTCTCGAGCTGCAGCAGCAACTGCTGCTGCTGCAGCCGTCTCAGGAAGCAGCAGCAGCATTTGCTGAAGCAGCAGCAGCAGCAACAGCAGGTGTTGATGCTGCTCAGTCTGCTGCGCTGTCGTCAGAAGCAGCCATGGCGTTGCTGCAGTCGCTGCAGCAGCAGCAGCAGCAGCAGCACGAGGACACAGGCTCATGGTGCAGCGATGATGAGGGCTGCAGCAGCAGCAGCATCAGCAGCAGCAGCAGCATCAGCACTGCAGCAACAGCACCTGATAGTGCTGCTGCTGCTGCAGCACGAGATTATGTTACGAGTGTATTTCATTCTGCTAATCTGTGGCTGCCTGGGAGCAGCAGCAGCAACATCAGCAGCAGCAGCATTGACAGCAGCAGCAGCAGAAGCAGCCGCACCAGCAGCACCGCCGATAGCCGCAGCAACAGCATTTTGTCTCCCTTCGCTTCCTTCTCTCCAAACAGCAGCAGCAGCAGCAGCAGCAACAGCAGCAGCAGCAGCAGCAGCAGCAGTTCGTGTTCCCTGCCCCCCTTCCCCAGGGGCGTTTGGTTCTTCGCTCGTGCTGCAGCAGCAAAACGCCTCAAATCGTTTATTCCTGCTGCTGCTGCTGCTGCTGCTGGTGCTGCTTCAGGAGATCGCTTACTTGTGTGTGCAGAGGAAGACTTTGGTCTTCTTGCTGCTGCTGCTGCTGCGCATGCAGCAGCAGCAGCAGCTGCTGCTGGCAGCTGGCTTACTGCAGCACTACGACGACTTAAAGCAGCAGCATTTGCTGCTGCTAATACCACCATCACAGCAGCAGCAACCCTACGGAAGCAGCAACGAGCTGCTGCTGCTGCTGCTCAAGAAGCAGCAGCAAAACTCTTCGGCCTCCCACCGCCTCCCCAAGAAGCAGCAGAAGCAGCAGCAGCAGCAGCAGCAACAACAGCAGCAGCAGAATCGCCATCCGCTTGTGCTTTCCCTCCAGGTGATTGCGTACAGTGCAGCTGCCGAAGGCTGTCGGAGGAGCAGCAGTTGCTGCAGCTGCAGCTGCAGCTGCAGCTGCAGCAGCAGCAGCAGCAGCAACAGCAGGAGCAGCAGCAGCAGCAGGAGGCAGTATGTGCTCCTGTGCCTTATGCTGCGGACAGCCCAAAGGCAGCTTGCTGCGCAATGGCGTTGGAGTTGCTGCTGGTGCAGCTGCTTGAGCAGCAGCAGCAGCATCTGCAGCAGCATCATCATCATCAGCAGCAGCAGCAGCAGCAGCAGCAGGTGGGGGCACCCAGGGGACGAACGATTGTCTATGCTTCTGCTTTACGAGCAGCAACTGGCGGCTTGCTGCCTTCTGCATATTTTGCTTCATTAGACGACTCAAAAACCGCAGCAACAGCAGCAGCAGCAGCAGCACCCTCATCAACAGCAGCAGCAGCAGCAGCAGCAGCAGCAGCAGCAGCAGCAGCAGCAGGAGCAGCAGGAGAGGAGGGTTTAGTGTCTGCTTCTCTACCTTTTCTGTCTCTTTCTTTTGCTTTTGAAGATATAAACACGCCTTGCTTCCCCCTATCGCATTATTTACACCGAAGATTATTCAGCTGGGGGGGGCTGCAGCTGCCGCTGCTGCTGCTAGGCGGCTGGACACTGTCGCTGTTTTCTGCTGCACCTGTTACGCTTGTACACCTTCCTCGTGCTGCGCTGCTGCTGCTGCTTATTCTTTATCGCGGTGTTTGTCTATACTGGGGCCTCAACTGGATTGGAAGCAAAATAGGAGCTTGGCTAGACCAGCAGCAGCAGCAGCAGCAGCAGCAGCAGCAGCAGCAGCAGCAGCAGCAACAGCAGCAGGAAGAAAGATTCAGCTGGTCAGAAGTAGATATTAGCGATCATGTGCTGCTGTATGTTTTGGTTGTTCTTGTTGCTGCTATAGAGACATCAGCAGCTTTTGCTTCTCACCCTCCTCTTGCTGCTGCTGCTGCAGCAGATAGCAACACCAGCAGCAGCAGCAGCAGCAGCAGCAGCAGGAGAAGAAGATATTGCTTTCCTTCTCTCTCACGATTAGCTCCTTATATATGTGCTGCTTATTATTCTGTTATTTGCTGCTGCTGCCTGCTGCTAGCTGTCTACACCTCTTGGTTTTATCATACACCTGCAGAGGTATGGGTAGCATTTGCTGCTGCGCTGCTGCTGCTGCTGCTGCCGGTGCTGCTGCTGCTGGAGGTTGCGGAGCTCCCAAGCCTGCAAAGGATCGGTGTCCTACGCAGCAGCGGCAGCAGCGGCAGCAGCAGCAGCAGCAGCAGCAGTGAGCACATGCAGCTGCAGCTGCAGCAGCAGCAGCAACAGCAACAAACCAGCCCCCGCGCACCCCCGTAGACGCAGCAGCAGCAGCACTTGCTGCTGCACCTGCTGCTGCTGTTGCTGCTGCTGTTGCAGCCCCGCAGAGGCGTGGCGTGTTGCTACTGTACACACCCAACGCAGCAGCAGCAGCAGCAGCAGCAGCAGCAGCAGCAGCAGCAGCAGCGGTTCTGCTGCTGCGTTGTCTAAGGGGGATTTTGTCTCGCTTTAACAAAGACATATAAATAAATAAATAAATACATAAATAAATAAATAAATAAATAAATAAATAATAAATAAATAAGTTAATTAAAGACTGCAAATAATAAATAAAGACAGTAAGCAGCAAATAATAATGTAAAGAGAAGGAAGAAACTCATGAATTGCTGCTGCTGCTGCTGCTGCTGCTGCAGCTATTGCTGCAGGCGCTGTTGCTGCTATTGCTATTGCTATTCATGCTGCAGCTGTTGCTGCTGCTGCTACTGTTGCTGTTGCTGCTGCTGCTACTGTTGCTGTTGCTGCTGGTGCTGCTGGGGCTGCTGTTGTTGCTGCTGGTGCTGTTGCTGCTGCTGCTACTGCTGCTACTGCGTAATACTAAACAAACGAAAAACAAACACAAATAAAAATAATAAAAATAATAAATATAAATGATAAATATAAATAATAAATATAAATAATAAATATAAATAATAAAAATATTGCTAGCAAATGTTTATTGACTTTGTTTGTTTTTCTTTATTTTATATATTTAATAATATAATATTTTTATTATTATTATATTATTATTATATTATTATTATATTATTATTATATTATTATTATATTATTATTAATATATTAATATATTAATATAATATATTATTCTGATTACTGTGTT